TGATGAGGTGCCCACCATGGCTCAAGGAGTGGTGGAATATAAGGAGACCTACGGGACCGACCCCATCACCAGCCAGAACATCCAGTACTTCCTGGACCGGTTCTACATGAGCAGGATCTCCATCAGAATGCTCCTGAACCAGCACAGTGAGACCCACACACACACATCTAGTGCTCGGTGATGCTTTATAATGGGGCCCTTTATGGACAGCAGAACTGTAAAGTCTGCTTTAAATGTAACGGGCTTCTGAAATGTTCACTCGTATTGTAGGTTTAGCAGCACCGACTGACATGTTTACACGTTTCACAGCCATCAGTGTCCTGGATTTCTGAATCTGTCGTGGATTGATCGGTCAGCCAGTAAACATCGTGCTGTGTTGTTCCACCAACACACACACACACACACACACTCTCACTCACTCACTCACTCACACACACACACACACACACACTCACTCACGTTGTTGTAGCTTCACAGATGCTGTGATTAAGATCAGAAACCGGCACAATGATGTGGTGCCCACCATGGCTCAAGGAGTGGTGGAATATAAGGAGACCTACGGGACCGACCCCATCACCAGCCAGAACATCCAGTACTTCCTGGACCGGTTCTACATGAGCAGGATCTCCATCAGAATGCTCCTGAACCAGCACAGTGAGACCCACACACACACATCTAGTGCTCGGTGATGCTTTATAATGGGGCCCTTTATGGACAGCAGAACTGTAAAGTCTGCTTTAAATGTAACGGGCTTCTGAAATGTTCACTCGTATTGTAGGTTTAGCAGCACCGACTGACATGTTTACACGTTTCACAGCCATCAGTGTCCTGGATTTCTGAATCTGTCGTGGATTGATCGGTCAGCCAGTAAACATCGTGCTGTGTTGTTCCACCACCAGTGAGAGATTACATGTCATTAACATAATGTCTGTGTGTTTCCAGCTCTTCTGTTTGGGGGAAAGGTGCGTGACAATCCTGCTCATCCCAAACAGATCGGCAGCATTGACCCCAGCTGTCGCGTCACTGATGTTGTGAAAGGTGACTGCGATCTATCTATCTTATAAACATGTAGCAATAATTAAAGATTTTATTGGTGGGGTAGTGAGAATAAAGGAAATGTGCCCTCAAACATCTCAATTCTCAGATTATTTTATAAAGATGTTTTTTTGTTTTAATTTTTAAATCAGCGTAAATTAAATTCAGTATATCAAATGCTACCATGAAGTATTAAACACTTAAATGTATTAATATAATTAAATAGTAAAAATATTTCACAATATTACTGCTCTTGCTGTACTTTGGATCAAATAAATGCAGTGTATATTTGTATGAAATATAGGTTTATTAAATCTAGGGTATTTAAGTCATTTTAAGATAAATAACATTCTTTGCTAACAAATTGAAATGAGGTGAATGTTTTCAACAAAGTGGTCACAGTTCTGTTCATAACAGTAGACCTGCTGGTGAAGAAGTGACAGGGTTGTCCGTTGTTTCAGAAATTGTTGTGTATGTATAGGCTATATACAGAAAAAAGGGGCCAAAATTGTTCCTTTTGGGGAACAACAGCTTGTCACCGTAGCAGTACTCTTAAAAGGACATCTTTGTTCCTTTTTTTTACCCCAAATAGGTACATATTAGTACCTTACAGTAGTAATTCATACCCTTAAGGTACTAGTAGGCCTACCTATTTGGGGTAAAAAAAGGAACAAAGATGTCCTTTTAAGAGTACTGCTACGTTGACAAGCTGTTGTACCCCAAAAGGTGCAATTTTGGTCCCTTTTTATATAGCTGATACATCCACAACAATTTCTGAAACCACAGACAACTGTATAATTTGTATGACCATCACATAAAAAGGTCTAAATCCTTAGCCTGGGGCCGTGGACAATA